TCTATCCCCTGGCTTGTCTCTTCTGTACACCCCATGGCCTGTGTGTTCCATAGAAACAGTTTAAGACTGGAACATAATTAAATGTTCTTATAGCATTGGGTACTAAGCTTAGTCAATGCTACGGTGCTTTCCACAAGCCATTAAATGCTGTGGCGGCATTACAGGCTGAGCTAAATCAATGGCATTTGATTTCCAGGGGACACAAAACTAGGCTTGTTGCGACAATTGTAATAGGACATCCTTGCTCTTTTATAGGACTTCGTGAACCCAATGGACGTGGGGCAGAAGACAGTGAACAGCCCAGAAGGTGCTGGCCCGGGACTTATTGGAGGCATCAGGCAAAGTCCTGACAATGACCTCCCTCTGCAAGCCTCCTCCAAGCTGGCCAGGTTGTCCCAATCTGCATCCAACGATGGCAAGGGCTTTGCAGCAGAGGAAGCTAGAACCTGCGCCCTGGAACGCTCCAGAACCGGAGGGTCCTGCAAGGTCAACAGCAGCACCCCAAGCCATGGGACCTTCGCCCTGAGGAAGGACTCCACCGAGAGCTTTCCACTGAAGAACCAGGTCATGGGTGACCTCAACGGGCAGAGTAACTCCGTGCCTTGCAGGATTGTGCCCCTCCAGAGCGCAGATGGGGACAGCCAACAGGCCTTCGGGACAACCACCCTGGAGCAGAATAATGGCAAGGAAGGTTGGGTATCCATGAGCCAGAGCACGGTGGTGCTGGGCGCAGATGGCAACACGTCTGTTCTGCCTGGAAGCCTCACTGAGGTAAGTTCCTGGGGCTTTTCATATGCTAATTGGACCCTGTACTATAGTCTAAAAATGACCAAAAATGTATCAATTGCAGGATTTTCCAAAATAATATTGAAAATCATTATTTTTTTTATTATTGGAAGGTATACAGTGTTTATGCTGGGCTTTAATAGTGAATGTAAAACATATTTTGCTTGTGCCTTGATTTCTTCCAGTTCCAGCTACTTACCTGCAGAGATTGTACGCTTACCTGGGTCTTGGGAAGTGTGAAACTCATTGTAAAAAGACAATATATAAAGGCACTATGTAAAGATGTATATATAAAAATGTACAAATAAGTTGGGCATGGCACACCTGTGTTTAATACGAGCATTGGCTACATTTGGCTTTTGCTGCTGATGAACTACAAGAGTCACAATGCCCACAGAATCTAAAAGGCCAGAGGTAGGCAACTTTTATTTAGCCTTTAGGACATCTATTAATATGATTATTTTATTGTACATTTTTATTGTATTTTTTTTTATTCATAAGGCCCAATTTACATGACAATGATGCTGAGAGATGTGGGTTTAATACATGGCAGCTATCACTCATACATAGGATGTAATACATGACAGATGTCACTCACTCACAGATCAGTGTATAATACATGACGGTTGTCACTCACTTATAGATCAGGATATAATACATCACAGTTGTCACTCACTCATACATAGGGCATAATGCATGACAGTGGTCACTCTCATAGGTCAGGATTAAATGACAGTGACCCCTGTTAGTGACCAGGAGTTGTGTTGTGTTCCTGACATTTGATTTTTGCTCTCTAGGACGATGATGATGGAGATGAGAATAAAGTCAGAGGAAACTGGTCCAATAAACTGGATTTTATCCTGTCTATGGTGGGCTATGCGGTGGGTCTGGGCAATGTCTGGCGGTTCCCTTACTTGGCTTTTAAAAATGGCGGAGGTAATGTGTGTCTGCAGGCAGGAGCTCCTGTGTGTACAAGGCAGGAGAGCTCCATCACATCCTCATACATTTCATGAACCTTTCCGATTGTTCAAAGCATGCACTGTGCATGGATCTCATGGTGACAATCCGTTCTAGTCACAGTTTGTGAATCCCTGATAAAAATCGATACAATTATTATCGTGTGTTTGTTTCACTGCAGTGTCAAGGTTTGCCATCTGTGCTAATCTGCGAACTGAATTCTAAAATGTTGTGTTTTGGTTTGTTTGTTTTTTTACTACATTTATCATATGCTTTAATATCAATTGCAGTTATTATGTGTTATATTGTGTTATAAGACGCAATAATTGTGATGTTTGTTGCACTATACACACAGTCACACAATCATTAGTAATATATTGATACAAACAATCATTAGTGATATATTGATACACACAGTCATACAATTATTGGTCGTTTTTTGATACACACAATTATTAGTAATATATTGATACAAACAATTATTAGTAATAGATTGATACACACAGTCACACAATAACTAGTATTACATTGCAACACACAATCATAAGCAATGTATATACTACACACAGTTATACAATTAGTAAAATGTTGCTACACACACTCCTTAGTGTAGATAATCACACACGAAGTGTTATCTTATGATATTGTAATCTTTATATGACATTGTGCTAATGTACACAAATAGAGGGACACTCTTAAGCAAAATTGTATTAATACAGTTGTATAGTGTGCTCTAGTTTGCTTTTTAACACATCACACAAGCACAAATAATTATTATATTTGTTGCAATTTAATGAATGTTTCTTTATAAAATGTAAGCTTAAAAAATGTCCCACTATGAATGTAATCTTTATGCTGTGTACAATATTGTGTTATTACGCACAAGCACACAGGTCATTTCATAATCTTGCAGTATAATACCTGCACACGAAGCTTTGTACAGTACAGTGTTGTGTTGTTGCAGTTTGATCTGCAGTCACACTCTTGCATTGTGCAATGCGGAGTCCGGATACTGCAGTACACACACATGGGTGTTCATGAATTAGAGGTGCAAAGTCCTGCTATGAACTGTTTTACACAGGCTGCTTCATCCAATTGTGTGTTGGTATATACACATCCCTGCATTGTGTAATGTGCTAATAGATACAAGTGAAACATGTGTGGAAGTTCTGTTGATGGGTATAGTCACACGACTGCAGTGTTGTAGTGTGTAGAGAAGACGTGTGTGTATGAACAGCTGCAATGACACAGCTATGGAGTATTCCCAGTATCATTGCAGTAATAGAATACTGCATTGTGCAACCACGTGCTATTAAAATGACTCCATGCCCTTAAATTTGGGCGAATCCAAATATACTATATTTACAATATTGTATTAAAAAGCTAACAGCAAATGTAAAGTGCAGTATACAATATTACAGATACACAATATAATGATACAACCTTCTAAGGCAGTGATTCGATATTAAATATAATATTCCTTGTACAGACTTCAGCTTTGTACAGACTTGTAGAATAGAGTTACTTTATACATTGCAGAATTCCATTGACTTATTGTAGCTTGTACTGCCTTGTATTACTACAATTTGTATCGTACACAATTTCGGCTCCATATTCAAGCAATGTGCACCCTTGTATTAATGATTACAGTAATTACATAAAGCTACACAAAAATACACTATAAAGTATTACATACACAGAGGCAATATACTACACACTATGAATTACAGACAATCGAGCAATATACTGCAAAATACAATATCACATACCACAATGTACTACATTATACAAAATACTACACTATATAATATTACAAGCAACCAGACTACTATGTATTAAGGACGATCGGGCAATATACTGCAATGTACAATATAACACTCCGACAACACTGTACAATATTACACACACCCCATACTGCACTGTACAGTATTACATGCACTCTGAAAATATACTACACTGTACACTATTACAACCAGACAATACTATACTACATAATATTACATACAATAAGACAATCACATACTATCACACTATCATACTATCAATATCACATACTACTGCGATATACTGCAATATACAATACTCAGAAGTTACACTACACTGTGTATTACACTCAGGCAATATACTGCAATGTACAGTATTACATACACTGTGACATACTATACTGTACTCTACAATATTACATACAAGCAGACATTGTACAATATTACATGCACAATGCACAAAATACTGCACTGTACGATACAATCAGACGCTACACTTTATATTACATACACACAAGCAATATACTGCAACGTACAATAAATACACTCAGACATTAGACTGCACCGTACAATATGACATATGGACAATATAGTACAATACAGTACAAAGTACAGGATTACACTACGTTGTACAATATTGCAGTCACATTACATACACATATGTTATATACACAATATTACATAGACTCAGACATAATACTACAATATAATGACATACACACTGACAATATACACTGTACAATACTGAGTTTACATGTTACATACACATAGAATATTACACACACTCAGACAATATACTACAATATGCAGTATTACATACATTCTGACAATATACACTGTGCAATTTGCATTCACATCACATGCATATATGTGGCCTACACATTACATACATATATGTTACATTCACATTACATACACCCATTACATACATACACACACATTACATACACCCATACAATGTCATTCGCACAGTTCTGATTTGTACTAAACATTTTACAAGGACACTTCCACTCCTGAGCTAAACTACAAATTCACCAAGCCCCAGAAAACAATCTTATTGTCCAGTTGTAGTTCAGCCTCCCGAAAGGTTTGATAAATCATTCGCACACTTGATCAGTGCAGAATATTGAGGTGAACGATTTCGCCCGGCAATGTGTATTGTCACTATCTAGAAGCACGCAGGCTCGCACTATTTTCTGTATAGGATTCTGATACAGACTTTACTTACTGTCAAAAGGAAGAGCAAATGATAAAGATGACGTCATACTCAAATAACATTTGAATTGTGTTTAATGCAATTATTATTTTATCCAATAACTGCACTGAAAGGTGTATTTTGCACGCAGAGGTTTTATATAGATGTATTTTAATTTGTTCAATATGGGAAACTGCTGTTATAAATGAAGGGGTCCAACAGAACAGCAAACTGGGTTTTGATGGACGGCTGTCACCTGCAGCGTTTCTCTAACTGGCCCCTTTAAATGTTAACCCTAAACCCAGCCAGAGAACCCTCCTGACACCCACACACATCACATATCTGCTGAATGCTGTGCCCCTGGAGAACAACAACTCCCAGCAGAACACTACCTGTGAAAGGAAATAATTCACAATTACAATCAATGATAAATAATTATGTATCGCAGAATAATAACGATATATACTTAGATTGCACTGACAGGAACCAATGTAATGCGTTTATGTATAATGACCTAAACCAGAATATTATTTAAAGATTCGTTTCCCTCTGTAAAAAAAAGACACAACGAATATCAAAGCCATAGACTTTCCTACTGGGAAGATTTTACAACGCTGTACTAAAATGCAAAAATAAGGAAATGGAAATACCTTTTATATGTGGAATAGACGGTCGGTGTAATTGTCAGCATTGCCAGTGCTGTAAAATGTGCATTCCTGGTAGAAACAATGTAACAAATATTGTAAGGAATTGTTCCCATACTTAAACACAGCAGATATTAGGAGATAATAGAACATGGCTTTATATAGTGACATCAATGATATCTCACAACAGTGTAGAATAGATCATTATACAGATGGATAGATTAGATAGATAGATAGAGAAATAGATAGATAGATAGATAGATAGATAGATAGATAGATAGATAGATAGATAGATAGATAGAGAAATAGATAGATAGAAATAGAATACAATAATAGATAGATAGATAGATAGATAGATAAATAGATAGATAGATATTATACAAAGAGAGAGAGAGAGAGAGAGAGAGAGAGAGAGAGAGAGAGAGAGAGAGAGAGAGAGAGAAAGAGATTTGAACCATTAAAATCCAGATATCTATTTTTTAAGTGAAAGTAATAGTTATTATTTGAAGAATACATGTGTCTGTCTTATAAATGATAGGTCACACAGCAGTCTAAGAACAGTTTAAAGTGTATCTGAACCCCAAAACATACATTTTGTATATTGGAGCTTACCAGTCATTACATGGTGTCTGCATTAGTTTTCTTTTTTTAATTTTTTGTTCTTTATTTTTACCTGGTGATCCTGCCAGTAACACACTTCCTGTCATGCAGGAGCTATGCTCACTCCTCCACTGTATCTATGGAAAAGCAGCGTAGCCACCCTTAGAATGCAGCATTCTCATTTTGTTAGATGGACTATAGGATTTGGATGGACTTCAGTGACTAAAAAAAAATGAAAGTTTAACTCCAACTGGTACTTTTAAAGAAGTTACAGCAACTGTTTTTTTATTTATTTTTTTATTCCTGTTGAGATTATGGGTGGACTTGAGCTTCATTGGCCCCGGAACGGACACGAGGCCCCTCTTCCCATCATATATTCCCTGCCCTGCAGCTGTATATAAACTGCTTGTGCTGACATCATTGACTGACAGCATATGGCTACTTGGGGCATATACGATCACCTTCTGGGTTTGGAGGAGCTCAGGTTCGAACCAAACCCAGTCTAAGTCTGAGCTCATCCCTATTTGGGATAAATATTTGACATATATGAATTAAAGCCGGCCATTGTTAGCACCTCTGTCAGTCTTAACTTCCCTTTTTGCTGGACAGCTTGTCAAGTAAAAAAATAACAGACTTACTGGCAGGAAAAACAGGTAAAAAAAAACATGTTAGGGGGCACCGACATTCTGAAAAACAAAGACTGCTGAGTTAATGTCATTAAAAAACTTCATCAAATGTGTAATTTTGTATTTAGCCCACAGTGTGGTTTCAGCACCACAGACAGCTCAATGAACCATAGTGATAGACGGACAGAGTTTCAGAACTCTGGACAGCTCCATGGCGGGAATGCTGCTCCTGATTAGTGATGAGCCGAACACCCCCGTGTTCGGTTCTAACTCGAACTTTCGAACATGGAAAAAGTTCTAACTCGAACTTAGAACTCAATGCAAGTCTATGGGGGTAGAACTCAGAAATGTAAATGTCCCCATTTTGAAGCCTTATATGCAATTTATTGGCCATAAAAAGTGTATGGGGATCCGGGTACTGCCCTGGGGGACATGTATCAATGAAAAAAACACTTTTAAAAAATAAAATTTTTAAAGGAGCAGTGATTTAACATCACTTAAAATGAAACATTAAAAATGAAAAATTCCTTTAAATATGGTGCCTGGGGGGTCCCCTTTCACTGACCGTAAAGTGGCGCATCTGTATGATGTATAGAACCTGCTGAAGCAAAAATGATATTTATATACATTTTATTGATATTTATATAGAACTCTAATATATACAGAAGTCTGATTT